AGAGGGCCCTTCTTGTTCCTCAGTATGCAGCCGATGAGGAGATGAAGAAGGCCCGTTATCATGAGATGTTGCGGAGTGACATCCGGCATGTTTGTGAGCCGGTCCAGTTGTAAAACGCTGGACGACATGATTGCCAGAGCTAGAGAGAGGGAGATTGATCTCGAGATGGAGAAGAAGAGGAAACCGGAGGCGGTTTCGGGTTCAGGCAGTGTGGGCAAAAAGCCCAAGGTTTCAGATCACAGGTCTAGGGTCAGCAGAGCCACGGTCGGTGTGGCAAGTGTGGGAGATTGCACGAGGGGGCGTGCAAGGCAGGGAGTTCCGGCTGCTACAAGTGCGGTCGGACTGGGCATTTGAGTAGGGATTGTACGGCCCCTGCTACTACGGTTACAGCATCAGATCTGATTTGCTTTCAGTGCAATCAGAGGGGACATAAAAGGTCCCAGTGTCCCAGTTTAGCTGCAGCAGGGAAGGTGGTTGCACCTGCCCCTGCCACCTTGAGGATTACGGATGGCCGGCAGGGCCGAGCTGATGCGCCAGTGGCGAAGAGCAGGGCATTTCAGATGACAGCAGAGGAGGCGCGAGCGACTCCTGATGTGGTGACGGGTATGAATCTTTCCTTCATCTTTAATTGTTATATATCGTTTGAATATTACTTGATGATATGTTTTATTTAGGGTCGTTCTCGGTGAACGGCATCCCTGCTTTGGTATTGTTCGATTCGGGGGCTACCCGATCATTTGTATCGCTTGCGCTTAGCAAGAGATTTAGCAGAGCTCCAGGGGAGCTGGATTGTCCATAGAGGTTGAGATAGCAGATGATAGGACCGTGAGGGTCGGCAGAGTACATAGAGGGTGTTCCCTTCAGATATTTGATGAGCAGTTTTCAGTGGACCTGGTTCCTATTCCCCTGCGTGGGAATAAAGTTATTGTGGGCATGGATTGGCTGAGCCCCAATGGGGCGGTGATTGATTGTGAGCTTCAGCTAGTGAGGGTTCGCACTCCCAGTGGGGGAGAGATAGTGATTCAGGGCGAGAGGCCCCAGCGAGGACCGATCTTTTGTTCCGCCGCAAGGGCGAGGCGCTATGTTCAGCAGGGTTGCGCCGGTTTTGTAGCTTACGTCTTGGATGCCCGGGAGAAGGGCAAGACGACGATTGATGATGTTCCTATTGTTCGTGACTACCCGGATGTGTTTCCCGAGGATTTGCCGGGGATACCTCCAGAGAGGCAGGTTGAGTTCAGGATCGACCTAGTTCCTGGTGCGGCTCCGATAGCCAAAGCACCGTATCGACTTGCTCCCCCTGAGATGCAGGAGTTGTCTACACAGCTTCAGGAGCTGTTAGACAAGGGTTTCATTCGGCCGAGCAGTTCGCCTTGGGGAGCGCCGATCTTATTTGTGAGGAAGAAGGATGGGTCGCATCGTATGTGCATTGATTATCGGGAGTTGAACAAAGTAACGGTGAAGAACCGTTACCCACTTCCGAGGATAGATGACTTGTTTGATCAGCTTCAGGGAGCGTCTTGGTTCTCCAAGATCGATCTACGCTCCGGTTATCATCAGATGAGGGTTAGAGATGAGGATGTACAGAAGACTGCTTTCAGGACCCGGTATGGTCATTATGAGTTCGTGGTGATGCCATTTGGGCTCACCAATGCCCCAGCCGCGTTCATGGATCTCATGAACCGCGTGTGCAGACCGATGCTGGATCGGTCGGTGATAGTGTTTAGATGACATCTTGGTGTATTCCAAGACACAGGGGCAGC